TCATTCTGTAGTTGTTGTGTGTTCTTTTTGGTTCTCAGTCCACAGAACTTCCTTTAGGATGTTTTTCATAGCAGGGTTGGCTTTGGCAAAATCCCTTAGCTTCTATTTATCCTGGAATGTTTTGATTACACCATCGTATTTGATTGACAGCTTTGCTGGGTAGAGGATTCTTGGGAGGCAGTTTTTTTCTTTCAAGGTTTTTATATATGTCTCCCCATTGCGCATGGTTTCTGTTGAGAAATCTGAGCTTAATCTGATTTGCTTGCCTTTGAATGTTATATTTCTTCTTTCCCTAACTGTTTTCAAGATCCTGTCTTTATCTTTGATTTTGGAGAGCTTGATTATTATATGTCTTGGTGATTGTCTTTTAGGGTCTGTCCATCCTGGGGTGCGTTGAGCTTCTTGAATGCTTATCTTTTCACTTTTCATGATGTTAGGAAAATTTTCTTCCAGAAGCTCATCAACTGTCTCCTCTGTGGACTTGTGTGATTGTTCCTGTTCTGGAATGCCAATAATTCTTATGTTATTCCTCTTCATGTTATCCAACATGAATCTTTTATGCCTTCTTCAGATTTTTTAATCCTTTTATGTTTGTTCTTCTATATTAGTAGTGCTGAGAGATTTATCTTCTAGTTTACTAGTTCTGGCTTCTATGTCTTCAGTTCTTCTCCTTTGCCCTTTCAGTGTATTGTCCATTTCTGATATTCTATTATTAATTGTTTCTGTAGGTTTTGAATTGTTTCCAATGCTGTATCTGTCTTATTTGATTGTTCCTATAATGCTTTCCTGACTTCTTCCTTATTTTTTTCAACTCCATTGTATATTGTTTTGATAAATTTTATAATCATTTTTCTGAATTCCTTCTCTGGCATTTCCAAAGCCTGCCCATCTTCCAGTATGGAGTGTAGGTTTACTTTCAGCTCATTTGCCTCAGTCACTTTATCTTGTTTCTGGACATGTGCAGATATGGTCATCTGCTTCTGTTTTTTGGGCATGTTCAGGGGTTATCTGTGGCCTCAATACTTATATGGGTATGTATTTTGGTATTTTTATGCTTTCTGAATGCCTCCAGGTAGATGTGATCAGGAAATGGGCTTCCCTTTTCACTCTTCTTCTTGAGAAATTTCAAGATGCCAATGTTGGTCATTTTGACGTAACTTAGGATTTAATTTTTGGCTTATTTCCTCTTTTGTCTGCTTGTCCCACTCCACAATCCCCATTCAGTCCTTTTTTCTAGTTTTAAACAGTTCAGGGCTAGCTGTGGTTGTTTGGTTTTAATTGGAAACTGTCTCTTTAAATTTCGAGGAGATCTGTGCACATGCGTAGTAGACCCCCTCCGAGGGTGGGGCTGGGGTGCCCACTAGCTCAGGCACCCCTGTAGTCACCAGAATGGAGGTGCGCAGACAGCAAGGGACCAATGAACAGCTACCAAAAGAAAAGAATGTCCACACCTTTAGCTCTGCGGTTCTACCAGGTGTTTGTGGCTGCTCCAATCATTCCCACACTTGGTCTCACCCAAGATGGCGGCTTTTGGAGCAGCTGAGCATCCCGGACTAGAAAGCAATGGATTTCTTGCTTCTGCCACAAATTCCCCCAGCTGTAAGCCTTCCAGCCCTCTAAATATTACTTTATATGTGGTTCAGAATTCTGGGATCATCCCTTGAGCCTGCTTAGTCGGGTATTCTGTGTTGTTGCTGGCAGAGCTCTTAACTGAACTTCCACCCAGTTCACCATCTTGTTTGTTGTTCTTTACTTTCTTGATGGTGTTATTTGACACGCAAAATTTTTTTTGATAAAATTTTTGTTTTTGGTAAAATCCAATTTTTGTCTCTCTTTTTTTTTTCATTTATTGCATGTGCTTTTGATATCATATCTAAAAAAATCATCACGTAAGTCAAGGTTACAAAGGTTAACTCCTATGATTTCTCCTAAAAGTTTTAGTTTTAGTTCTTACATTTAGTTTGGTGATGCATTTTGAGTTAATTTTTTTGTGTATGCTATGAGGAAGGGTCCAAATTCATCCTTTAGGAAGTGGATATCCATTTGCCTTCGCACCATTTATTGGATCAATTTTTCCTTTTCTTGCTAAATTGTCTTGTCATCTTTGTCAAAAATTGAGAGTTCACTTGAAAACATTATGCTAAGTAAAATAAATCAGTCACAAAGGGGCAAATGTATGATTCAAATACCTATGAAAGGCAAGTATAAAGATACCAAAGGTAATCAGTGATTAAATGGAAGGGATGGGAAAAAGTACACTCACTGCTTAGGAGACACATTTAAAGATGATGAGAAACGTTGTTGTTGTGATGTGACGTGCCGTGGAGCCAATTCCAACCCATAGCAACCCTGTATAGGGTTTCCAAGGAGCGGCTGGTGAGCTTGAACTGATGAGAAACATTAGAAGTAGATAAATGGTTATGGTTGACAACATGGTAAACATAATTTATATTACTGAGTGACACATCTGAAAAATGTTGAAATGGCGATTAGTTTCATACACAAAAGGGCTTCAAAGGTTCATGTAAAAATGGAATTAAAAGATAATGGAATTTTTCCACTAACTTTTTGAAGCCTCCTCATATATTTACCACAGTAAAGGAAAAAAAAATGAAGCTCAATTTGTAACAAAATAATGATTTCCTGAAGCTGGAAGTTGCTACCATTGTCTACATATATGTATTACATATATATTATATATATATATATATATATATATATATATATATAGCTTTAACTTTTTATTGTTTATTGATTGAAGGTTTATGGTGCAGATCATCAATTTTACATCCATCAAATCACATATTTTGCTTCATTATGATAATTGAAATTCCTTCCATGTACCAATAGTTAACTATAGTTACCTCTGTTACCTAAGTTTTGCATTCCTCCATGTGTCTTCCACTACTTTCATCTTTCCTCAGCTAACCTTCCTCTTCTATATTGCCTGCCCTATCACCCATGTTGACATGACTATTCTTAGAATAATTTCCCCTACCTACTTCTTCCACCCTAACCATCATAGTTCAAGACAACCTTTTCTTAACTTTTTACGACGCTGGACTCGTACACTACTTGTCCTTTTGTGATTGACTAGGTTCAGTCAGCATAATGTTCTCTAGCTTCATCCATGTTTTAAGATGTTTCTCAGATTTATCTTTCTTTTTCTAAGTTTTTATTGTAAACTGAGTGATAATTTACATGGGAGAACATTGGCTTTACACCACTGTTTCATTGCAATGATTACATTCTCTTCCATATATCATCATTCAACATTATTTGCATCCATTCCCTCAGGATTTTTTTTTTTTTTTGGTTTTTGTTGGGTTAGGTGGGGTGGGGAATGTACACAGAAACACTCAGGAATATATAATAATTTAAACAACCAGAGGACACATTCTGAAAGCCTGCTTCCTGGCCACCAGGACCCAGTCTCCCTCTCTCCATGTCCTCATCTCTGCCTCCATCTCTGGTGTCACTGCTTCTCTGGATAGGGTCCCGCCCTCCGTTTGTGGTCTTCTCCTTTGATGCTCCTAGGGTCCTCTGTTTCTGGACTATAACATTAACTACTCCCCCGTTTCTGTTACAAAACCTTTACAGTTGTGACAGTCACAATTATCATGATAACAGTTACTCACTATTGAATCATAAGAACCTTATCCCCATCTCTTTTTACCAGACCATCCAGACAGGATGAAAACTATTCAGTGGGGACTCTACCTTCCGCCACACACTCTTACACTAAATTCCCTCTTGAAAACTTTTAAGCCAGTCACTTCGTACATTTGTCACCCCTCATTTTAGGTAGCCAATGTCTTAAGTTGCCCGTCCCTATCCTTTATAGAGAGGGGATAGGATTGTTGCATTCTTTTCTCTGAATTTTCTTCTATCTTGTCTGTATTGAGAGCTTTATCTTCAAGCTTGCTAATTTTGGCTTTCATTGGTTCAGTTCTACTCCTTTGTCCTTTTAGTGTATTGTCCATTTCTGATACCTTAGTTTTAATTTTCTGGATTTCTGATTGCAGATTTTGTATTATCTCCAGTGCTGTATCCATTTTGTTTGATTGTTTCTGTAGAGCTTTTCTGAATTCTTCCTTGCTTTCCTCGACCTTTCTGTTTGACTGTACCTCAATATCACTTCCCTGAATACTTTTTCAGGAAATGCTCAAAAATATTTTCTAGTTTTGCCTCTTGGTCATTTGTTTGAGCTACTCTTGTGTTGTTTCTTCATGTGAACAAAAAATTTCTCCTGCTTTCTAGGCATTGCAGTGTTGTTATATTTGTATTAAGTTGATAAGCATATGTTGATATGTTCTTAGGCACTCACCAATTGCCTCCTGGTGTGTATGATCAAGATAGGAGCTTCTCTGTTCACTGTTTGTATAGTTCAATTCAGAGTGGATTTAGCTGATGTTGGTTGTAGTCGCTGCTCTTATAAATGTCAGCTGGAGTTGGCTCTTGTCCAGTTGATGGAGTTGTAGAGGATACAGTTGCATCTGTTCAACTTTCTCCCTCAGTAGGCACTCGATCCACTTTTCTATCCCTTCCTCTATCTCAGAGTTCCAGGACTGTCCTCTGAATCTGACTCATCCAGTTTTATGTACCCTTGCTGCAGAGTCTGCACTGCCTTTCTGCCTTATCCACCATCCTTTTCCAACCCCCTAAACATTGATAAAATAATTAAATAAGTAACTAGCTTCCCAAAGGTTACTAAAGAACAACATTAATAGACTCAGAATTTCAGCTGAAAGTGACTAATTCTGTCTATGGAGGAGTAAATTAATTGTTAAGCTGTAGCAATCTTATAATATATTTATTAGAAAAAATGAACTCATAATCTGTAGGTATGCCTCCTATAGTAACAGTGGTCTTATCATTTTGAGCTATGAGAAGCCTATTGGGAATGGTTGAGGAGTTTTTGAGAATGATAAGGCTCTTCTATCTTTCATATTATGATTTTTTAAACTCTACTTTATTTAAGACTTTTCCCTTCCCCCTAGATATTATTGACCCTGCAATTCTGCGCCCAGGCCGGCTAGACAAAACACTCTTTGTGGGTTTGCCACCCCCAGCAGATCGTCTTGCCATCTTAAAAACTATCACCAAAGTAAGTAAAGGAAATGGTATATTTGCATGTATATTTTTCTCATTTTAGAGAAGTTATAGCAGTTAGTAATTTAGGATGGTTAATCACTTTCTTTATTGTACTTTAAATATTTATCCAGCCTGCATCTCTTAAAGGAGGATATGAACCATTCTAAGTAATTGAAAAGATTTTCCATTCTCATTCTTACTTGCTTTAAATAAAGGTAAGCTAGCAGGGAGTGTTTGACATTAAATTCTTTACTGAAATATTTGAAATATCACTCTAATTGTATTCATGTTCTTTTGATCTTTGCTTTTTACTTAAGAGAAATTTCTTTTAGAGCATATTTTGAAATCAAATAGAAGCTAAATTTTGAAATCACTGTATTTAATTCCTGATGTGGCACTGTAGGATAAGCACTGGACTGCTAACTAAAGGTTGGCACCCACATGCTCCTTGGAAACCCTATACAGGGTCTCTATGAGTCAGAACCTACTCAACAGCACTTAACAACATCTTGGTATGTGCTAACTTCCAAGACATGTGTACAGTGTTGACTGTAATGTTGCTATAAAAATAATACGCAGTACATACAAAATACAAAGAAGAATTTTCTTTTTACTAGGGAAAAATATCATCCCAAGTTGCATCACTGCAAAGTAATATGCGTTATTAACATTTACTGCAAACATCTCCATACAGCATGGGTGGGTGTCTACAGCACAACTGAACAAGGAGGTGGAGAAATAAATTTAAAATATATTAAGTAAATATTTTTTAACCTTTAAGCCAGTAAGCAACTGAAGTCATTTTTTTTTTTTAAGAAATGTAAACAATGCATACAAACACATTTTAAAATTACATCTTTCAAAACCTTGTCAGTATTCATTTCAGTTTAGATCATATCAGTTTAATCTGAGCTATGAGAATGAGATAATTAATGTTCTTGTCCCTTCTTTCCATTTTTTATCTCCTTCATATTTGTGTCCAGTTTCATATTGATGGTTGTTTATCCATGCCTTCTCTTTCTTCTCTTGTCAACTGGATGAGTTCTCCCAACCTCCTTCTCATTCTACCTGGAACATTTTTTTTTACTCCTACAATTACAATAAGGTCTGGTTTTTGCTTACATTTCTGTACTTTGGGTGGCCACATTAGCCTTTGTGAGGAGGTCTGAGCATCCTTTCTTCTGAGAAATATTCATGAAATGTCTTCTACATCTGGAATGTAATCTCATTCCCATGGGCCTGTGTGCCTCAGGCTACACAGCTCTCAGGAAGATAGCAAGCCTGGGCAGTTCTTGATTCTGCTGAAAATACTTCCTCTGAGGGTTTTTCTTTAACCTTGTGTAGGAATATCTTTTCCTCAATTGAAAAGAAGAGGGTATTCACAAGATTTTGGACGTTCACACAATTTTTGTCAACTCACCTCCTTTCCTCAGTGTTCCTTCCTTGGAGTTATTGTTAAGTACTGTTGAGTCGGTTCCAAACCATAGCAGCCCTATATAGGGCTACCAAGGGGTGACTGGTGGATTTGAAACACTGACTTTGTGGTTAGCATTACAGTGCTTATCCTATAATGCCACACCAGGACTTCCTAGGCGTAGAAACCGAATTCTTTGCCACTTCTGGGTTTTCTCTTTTCCTGGAATCTGCTTTTCAAGTTTACAATGGTAAATTATTAACATTTTGGTTTTTTTTACATATTTTAATCTTCTTTTTCCTTGTGGCAAAGAAAGATTCTGTGATTCTGCTTTCCTGGGTCTTCATTATTCAGAGTTGCTCTTCCAAAGGAGGGAGAATATAGGATCCACCCAATACTAGAGACATTTGAGATATAATGAAATGTTGTTGTTGTTGTTGTTGTGTGCCGTGGAGTCGGTTCCGACTCATACTGACCCTGTATAGGGTTTCCGAGGCTGTAAATCTTTATGGTAGCAGAAAGCCTCATCTTTCTACCACAGAACAGCTGGTAGTTTCGAACTGCTGACCTTGCGGTTCGCAGCCCGATTCGTAAACACTACACTACCAGAGTTAGTTTCACATTAATTATTTTGTTAAATATTTATTTATATTCAACCTTGTTTAGGCTCTAAGAGATGAAAAAATTAGGTTTTCAAAAGTCACCCAACAATTAGATACATTATTGTAATGAGGGAAGTTAAGGTGTATACAGCTGTAGGGGAATCATTCACATAATAGTTTCTGTGAATAATACGGTGTATGCCTTACACACCGCTGCACAAAAGCCCTGGGCACATATAAGATACAGATGATTTGTGAGTGTGCCTTAAATCTCCTGGCAAAACCAGGAAAGTCTTCATGGAAGCAAAGTTTACTTGGCAGATAAGCAAGAGGTGACCATTCTGTCCAATATGTAGGCACTGACCTGAGAAAGCTTGCAGAGTCAAGTTGCTGAAATGTGAAGCATGGTCAGGGAAATGGCTAGACTTTTGGGTCAGCAGAAATCAGGCCTTAAATGCCATGCATGGTATCTTAGTCATGTAGTGCTGCTGTAGCACAAATACGACAAGTGGGCGACTTTAACAACCAGAAATGTATTCTCTCACAGTTCAGGAGGCTAGAAGTTCACATTCAGAGTGCTGGGTATAAGGGAAGTTTTTTTGTTTTTGCCAGCTGTGGGAAAAGGTTCTTGTCTCCTTTCACCATCTGTAGACCCTGTAGTCCTTAAGATCTTCATGGGCCGCGGCATTAGTCTTTACCTGGATCAAGGAGGTTCACAGTACAGGAACCCCAGGTCCAAAAGATATACTCCACCCTCGGCTCTCCTTTCTTGGTGGTAGTTGTGGTTGTTAAGTGCTGTCGAGTCGATTCTGACAAAAACAAAAAAGGAGAACTGCCTGGGTGAACGTTTCCAGTGCAGAACTGCCTTATCCCAGTGGATAATCCACCCTCAGCAAGGAAACTTACTGAGCCCAAGGGCTCCTGGCTGCATGACAGGCTAAATCATGCTTCCTGAGGCTAACTGGTAACAGGCCTTTTTGGTCTGGCCAGCTCCTACTCACCAGCACAAATTGTTAGACGTGGCCTGAAAGTTATTTCACATAAACCTGGGACAAATGTCACCTTACTTTAAGAAAAACACTACATTTTTTATCCGACACCCCTGGAGCACAGTTCTACTCTGCCACACATGGGTTTGCAATAAGTTGGAATCCACTGGACAGCAACTGATAAAACTCAGAAGACTCTAAGAAAATACTCTCACTGACAAACTTTTACATAGCCATTTAAGTCCAAGTCTAAAAAGTTTTATAATATAATATTATGATAAAATTATTATATTATACCTATAATATTTCAGGTATAAATAGAAAAAAGAGGAAACTACATAATACAATCTGAAATATTAAAGTTAAAGACCTGCAAACTTTGAAACAGAAAGTAAACATTAAAACCACCATTTTTTTCCCTCACATTCTGTTGATTTACAAAGAAAATACGAAGCTGAGAAAAAAAATATCTGTACTCCAGTCACATGAAAATGCTGGTCTGTGCCCATGGCTGGCGACAACATTGAGTTTGCACATGAAATGATTCTGTCGAATACATGAGTGACAGTGGATTTTGTAGCAAATCATGTACAAATCAGCCATGGCTCTGCCTATGAAATGATCCACAACAGACTTGGGTTTCAAAAAGTTTGTGTAAGATGGGTACCAAAACAACTCATGTAAGAGTATAAACAGAAGTATTTGGACATCTACAAATAAAATTTAGACCAATACTCGAAGTAAAGTGAAAGTTTCTTTAAAAATTAAAAAATCGTTACTGGTGATGAGACATGGACTCATCACTACGAGACTGAGAGTAAACAGCACAGTATGGAATGGAAACATCCTCAATTGCTGACCAAGAAAAAGTTCAAAAGTCAACCATCAGCTGGAAAAGTGATGCTTATAGTTATCTGAGATTCTCAAGTGTCATTATTGGAACACTATCAGGAAAAATGTTCAGCAATCAACAGTGCTCGTTACAGTGAGATGCTTACTGAAAAGCTGAAGCGTAAACCGGATTAAATGCAGAGGACTGCTATCCAAGGGTGTTATGATCTTGCATGGCAGTGTATATCTGCACACCTCTGCCCACACTGTTGACACTTTGCAAACACTTCGTTTTGAGGTGTTAAAGCATCCTCCCTATAGTCCTGATCTTGCTACACTGGACTTTGACCTGTTTGGTCATTAGAAGCTATGCTAGTGAGTTGCTTTCTTTGTTTTTTTAAATATATATGTGTGTTACATATGCACGTGCACAGTAGCACATACATACAAATCCACCTTGTTTCTATACATTTCTTTCTTTTAAGAAAAAATTATTGTGAATTAAGTGAAGGTTTACAGACAAGGTCATCAGTTTTACATTCAACAAAGCATAAAATTTGTTTCATCTCAATGGTTGCAATCGCCTCCATGCAACAATAGTTACCCACTACCTTCTGCCACTGTGCCATTCCATCTTGTTGGGGGGGTCTCCCTCTTTTCCTCTGAGCCTCCATTTTTCCAAAAATGATATCCTTCTCCATTGACTGGTTCCTCCTGACACCGTGTCTGAAGTATGATAGACGAAGTCTCACCATCCTGGCTTCCAAAGAGTATTCTTGCTGTACTTCTTCCAATACAGATCTGTTTGTTCTTTTGGCAGTCCACAAACATATTCATTTATTCCTAAGGACAGGAGATAAAAGAAGGCCAGCTTTCCTTTATGATGCTCCTGATTTTATATCCTTTTGCTGTGACAAACAGATAGTTCTAAGAACAGTATCTTCTGTGAGTTCTTTGAGTCCTTCCAGATAATAATGAGTCTGAGGACCCTGTTCTTTTAGCTTGTGAGGCCAACCTCTGGGTGTCTAAGGGACTGAGAAAGGAAGTGGGTGCTGCTCCGGCAGTTGATGGGAGAAATGGCTGGAAAGAGGGAAGATACTTGATCTCCACCTCATGGGAATCAGCTTATGCTGCTTCTCATCCACAAAGCTGTCAGTGACTACTATTTTCGGAAGTA